AGTACGTAATTAATACGACATATCAGTTTTTATTTATAAAAATTTGTACGAAATTCTTCATAAATACATCTTTATTTTAATATAAGTTATATAAATATAAAATAATATTTGGATAATATGAAAATTCAAAATTAACTTAATTGTGAATATTAAAAATAATATAAGTTGATTTTAAGTTAATGTAGATGCAAATGAGTTAAGTTAAAGTTAAGTTAATTAATCAGCAAACTAGTAATTTAAGTCAATAAGTTAAAATAACTTAACTTTAACTCATTAACCTCGTTAATGCCAGAACTGCCTGTACCTATATTAAACAATATAATGTCGAACTGAGTTTTGAATTAATTAATATTATATCGAATTCGTTATTTCTGTGTAGGGGTAAGTGCTTTGGACATTGTTTCATGATCGAATACGACTCCCTGCCAATTTTCTACAAGACAAATCGTGGGTTTTTCCATTCGATGGGCAAAGGACGCAGGTTATATTATTATTATATTTTAATTGTTGTCAGTAAATAATGGTAAATAATAGGTTAGACTTTTCCGCATAACTCGCTCTTGTGTGACATTAGGGAGGTGAATCGAAATCGGTTGTGTATTGTGTTAAGACCAATCGCGTAACATGCGGCTGGTAATTTTTGTTTGTAGTTGTTACAATGATTTAGTGAAATTTTTGGTGATGGTCATCATACTTTGCATTAATAATATTATAAGGGATTGTACATCCAAGTGCTATTTTTGTGACAATTATTTTCCTGATTTAATTTTTGTTTGTTTTAATTTTTCCGTAATAGGTCCTCCTCGTCACATAACAAATACTTACCGTTGTTCGTGGTTCATTTATAAGTCATGTATATTGTATATTATGCATTAATTTATTGTTAATTATTGTACTCTTAGTACAAAATTGTCACGTACCTACCTATTCTACTGTACAAAGTAATATTATGTTTGTTGTTTTAAGTGTTATATATAACCGCTGATATTTTTCTACCATAAAAAAATACAAATTGTTTAATTTTATATATTTTGTGTAAATAAATATAATTCTTTTAAAGTACTGTTTTTGTTTGTTTTAGGTACCTTATTATTTTGAAAAGTGGGTACTGTGAAACTGTTACTTTTTACTTCCCAAAGTTCCAGCTAGATTTATTTACTACTAGATACCACTCTATTTTTCACATTGAAGCATTCTAACTGCTCCAAAAGGTGGTAACAGATATACAAAAAAATCACCTGTATTTAAAAACCTATTATCAATGTATTCATTAACACTGCACTCGAAATCCTAAAACTATACAAATATAATAAAATGTACCTTATTTAGATGTCTGGTTGTACAAAAAATGAAAAATATTTTCAATGATTATATTATGTATTGTAAAATATCTTATTTAGACGATAATTGTATATCTTTTAATTTTATACTAAAACAAACTGTGATAATAAATTAGAAACCTAGATATTTTTTTGTATATTGCCTGTCAATGAATCGAATATAGTGAACTATGGTGTCCTCTTAGTTATCGTTATATATAACAATAATAAATATATTTTGTTTTATTACATATTATGTTAACAGTTACTGTTGAATTGAAGTACTTTTAAAATTGTTTAATTAAATATAAGAAGTTTTTTTTTGAACAATAAACATTATTATAATTTATAGGTGCTTCGTATACGTCTAAATAATATGACTATCCAAATGAAAAATAAAATATCAGTGTATTTATTATTGAAAATGGTAAGGCTTAATTAGATAATATATAATTCATAGTACCAAATATACATATTTAAAATCTTAATTAATACAACTAATTTATAATACTATTAATATTTCAATTTATTGAAACGTATAATATTACATAATGCAATATGCCAATATGTTAAATATTATTTAACGGTTCATACATAAAAGAAATATTAAAATATTCATATAAAACTTAAATAGGTATAACACTCACGATAAATATATTATTATCTATACAGTTCATATACGGTAAGGAATACCTACATTAAAAATATAATTTTTTCAATAAAATACAGACAGTTGTTACTCTTTTTAATCGGTGATTGAGATTTTGAGAACCGCTCATCTATAACAAATAATGGAACTAGTATTTAAATGTTTGTAATAAAATGAATATGTACTACATAAATTAAAACCAATTCATAACTAACACTTTATTACAATTAAGTGGTTGATAATAATTTGTATTATTTGCGTATAACCTGCAGGAACTTTTTAGCGTGAGTCTGATTCAAAAATCATGATCATCCCCATTTTTACTTTTAATAACTATTCATTTGTTAAAATTCTGAATTTTAGATTTCTTTCTACTTAGATTTTTTATACAGTTTAAGTAGGGTACTGTGGCCATATTAACATTATACCTATGTATTAAACTGTATATTATAGATATTAAGTAGCTAAATTAGGAATATTTTTGGCTCAATTTATTTTACATTACGATTACGTGTACAAAGATCCAATGATACTTAACAATTTTATCCAATAATCGGTCCAAAAAATATGTGCAAAATCAATACAATTGACTATGCTGTAGTTGCAAGGGCGTGCATAAAATATATCGATCGATGATGTAATGAATGAAGTCATAATTCGGGCTATAAATATTGCACGGTATAAATATTGCATATCAATACTTGAAGAAAGTGTGTGAACGCATAGCCCATGATGTATATCACCGTGACAATATAAGCTCTTGAGAATAAAAATTGTACTCGAGATTAGGTATTCGGTAGAGTTACCAAAATATGGAACTTATCAATATATTATTTGAATGGTATTTTTGTGATATTTTTGCTCTTAATTGTACTCCGTTAATTGTATTTTACTAACTATATAATTTATCTAGACACTCAAGACTAATAAACAACTAATCGATTAGCAATTTGAAGGTTAAATTTGTTTGGCGTTATGTTGTGAATCGGTTAATTTGCAAGTGGGACACAGGCACTTGAGGCTCAGCCTCACCTAACTACTGTAAAGAACAAGGAGGTATATACTATAGTTATAGTTATTTCCATAATCGACTATATTCAATAATATATTATACATTTTATATTTTTATAATAGAAAAGCTTTTTGTTATCATATAATTTTATTATCATGACAAAATGAATTTGTTTTGTCGTGTATAATAATTAATATTAACTACTGCCATAGAACATAATAATATTTATACGTCATACTTCGACACTGTTATAAAAAATCACGACGATGTTCGTGGAACGATAGAACGACTATAAACGATCTCTTCGAAAGCCGAAGAGTGCCGAGAGGCTAGTAATATTTAGCCTCAGACGAGTCGGACGACCGTACGATTATAAAAATATATTTCATGATAGTGGGAGAAGTCGGAATATTATTATTAAATGAGGCTGAACGATTCAGGCCTCAGAGTTAGTCAACATTATCGATTAGTCATTTGTCGAAACGACGTGATTTCCACTAATAGAAAAAGAAACTGAGAGGTTGTCTTCATGTCGCTTAGTGTAAGTGTATACCTACCTATAATACTTTTATCACAAACTAAAGATATTATCGGTTCTTATCGAACAAATAACAATGAACATATTATTATTCAATTTTTAATTTTGTACTTGTATTAAGGCTCTAATAGAAGTTTTTAAACTTTTAAACAGCCCTACTTCATACTTGTACTATAGTAGAACCATGGTACTATGGTAGTATTCAATTGATTAATAATTTATTGTTTATTTGCCTCACCCCTCATACGGTTCACGAGCCGCCACTGTTAATTTGTGCTTTTAAAATCAAATAGTAATCCACACAGAATGGAAGAGTAATTTGTATGGCCAAAAATAAACTGATATGGTGACGAAGTATCCATATCAAACAAATAACCCATATGAACATACTATATAGTTAAAACCGAGAAATTTAAAATTATAATTAGATTTTTTTTTCCAGAATTTAAGTGTACTTAGATACTTTATTTATTTTATCTCAGTAGTTATAAATAGAGATGTCACAGCAGTTTATAGCACACACTAATATAGTAGATAAAGTATGGAATAATACAAATGGATTAAATGCTATACAGACCTTCGAGAAGCATCACGTTTTAAATATGTCAATGAATAATGATACCAGCTATCCTATATATAATCCAATAATGTATAAGACCAAACGTAAAACAGTGAATTAATCGTTACCTTAAATAATCTATTAATTTATCATCGTATCTAATCTATGATATTATTTCTATACGTTTTCTGAGTCAAAATCCTAAAATACGATATAGTACACTAAACATACTAACGTTACATATTATTATATAAGCTCATAAATATAATATAGGTACCCTATAAAAATATGTACAGTAGAAATCAAGTAGAAATCACTATAACGAGCATCGCTTAGAACGAGATACTGCTTACAACAAGCAAAACGTTAGGTCCCGGCACGAGCACATATGATTGCACTTTAAAATATACGTTTACAACGAGTATGGTTATTACGAGTTATGCAAGTATAAATTAATCTCAAATAAAAATTTTTTATCCAAAATAAAAAAAGTCGTCGGTTTTATTTTTGTATTTCCGCTAACCTTTTAATCGGTTACAAAGAATGTTCGTTCTAACCGCATATAACGAGCTACCGGTTATAACGAAAAAAACTAGCTGGCCCTTGAAACTCGTTATAACCAATTTCTAATATAGCTACTATACCTATACGTCTTATAGTCGAGTCATTTCGTCACATGATAATCACCGCTATCGCGACCGGTTGCAACGTCGCCGTCGTACGGCTATACCTACCATAGATTAATTACCGTTGATGCTCAGTCACGCCAAAGCGTGTATGCGACAAGCACTTATTTGCGTTTAAACTCACTCACCGATTTTACCAGCTAATTATAATAATTGCACTAACCATTATTGAGTGTCTTTGTGACTAATTAACGGCAATATATTGCAACAGTGTCGTCGTTGTTCGTCCACAGGTTGATGGAATTATCCGGTATGGACAGGTTTTGTGGATCGACTTTTTGGGTAAGTCTCTAATTTTTGTGTAGATTTTTTGTAGTCGACTTCGGCCATTCGTCCCATTATAATATTATATATATACAATAAAATATTGATTATTTTTAAAATACAATATTACCGATGGGCAGACGTCGACACGAAATATTATTGAATCACTGATTTCGTATTTTTAGGACTGGAACTTGTCCTGGAATACCACTGATCCTGATGTCACGCCATGTTTTGAAAAGACCTTTCTAGTCTGGACACCTTGTCTATTTCTGTGGCTATTCTCTCCACTAGAGATATATTACTTGGTGAATAGTAAATACAGGGACATACCATGGAACTGGTTCAATATGGGGAAAGTGGTATGTTTTTTTTCGGTGCTTTTAAGTTTTTCTGACATAACTTGAGCGTTTAATTTGGATATACCTACTAACAAATATGAACATTATAATTATGCATACCATAATTACCATTATTAGCTTTGGATAAATTCTAAATTTATCCCCGAAATGTTTTTGTTAATTGTATTAGATACACCTGATATTATATACATAATACTTACATTTTGATAAGTAATTTAAATTGTAAATTTGCTGTCATTGAAAATTTGAAATTTTCCTACTCATAAAGTTTATAAATTAAAGTCGTAGTAGGTGGTCATTAAAACATCATGACGTGTGCGCTTATTTTTTACTTGAAAATGAAATATCGTTAAACATCATTAGTATCCCTATATAATATATATATATATAATATGAAAACGAAGATACACTGTTTAAACAACATTTACAGCCATAATTCTTTCAGTTATTTGAGTTCTATTACGACTTGTAAATAATGTATTTATCATTTATGTTAACAATTTAATCTTAATTTTGTGAGTAAATAAAAGCCATAAAATGTAAATTTTAAAAACAAAATAATATGATGGATTTAAACACATGACTCTAAACTTTAGTCATAGTAAAATTAATTATTTCATAAGCACTACTCATATGACTTATTTCCTGGTTTATAGTATAAGTATTAAGTAGATACTACTTTAAAATCGCACATGTTCAACATTCTTAATGATTAAGATAAAATATCATTGACTAGTGTAATAAATAATATTATCATATTTAAACTAATATTTTAGATTTTTAGCAAAACGATGAATGAATTGATTTATTAAAGATGTATGGTTTATTTCAAAATATTTATTTACATTGTAGTCGATAAAATTATTTTTCTCGATGTTAACCTTAGGGATAGTATCTAGTAGAAAATTGGTTATAGGTGGTTTTATTAAGTAAATTAAGAACATTTCCTGTAGTTTTCTAGTGTTGGAAAAAAAACAAAAATAATATAAAATTATTCTGGAATTTTAAGCTTTATATGGAAACTTGAAATTTGAATTAAATTAAATTGTTTCTTATAAATGTCGATAAAAAATGTTCCACTTGGTAAAAAATCTTGAAACTTAAATTAATACAAGATTCTTTATTAGTTGTTAAAAAATATAAAAGATACATGATCACGATCATTTTTTTTTTTAAAAATTTAAAGTTCAAATTTTAACAGAACTCATAAAAATCACTAAAAAGTATAATTTGTAAATTATAATTTAGTTAAAAAATTATGAAATATTTATTTTTAATAGCTAACAATTGAAAGTGTAAAACAATTTTTCTCATAAGTACTTCATATTGTAGCAAAAAAATCTACTAAACCATATGTGTAGTTGCAACTGGTCTTTCGAGACATAGAGCCGGTACTGTATAGGTGTATTGTAATAAAATTTCTAATAAATAAATATATTATTTTGATATTTTAGTTTATTATGGCTTTATTAATTTTATAGGCTGGTGTATCTATATTATGTATCATATCATTTATTGATATTGTATATGCAATAATTCGATATTCGTCAGGGATGGATGTATTTAGTGTAGATATCTATACACCACTTGTAAAACTAATAACACTTGTAAGTATTGTGATTCTAAATTTCTGACATATTTTTGATTATATAAGATTAAACCAGGGGCCGACTGGGAATAAAAATTTGCCTGGGGGAAACAGAAAATTCAGACCAATTATGGGCATATAATAAAATATTTATAAGTTATCGGTCCAAATTTATTCAAGCAGCTCACATTTTCGTCAGGCCCATGCGCGGATCACTCATCCACCACCCTACCCAGTCCGCCCTTGGATTATACTATTTTTTTTTTGTACCTATCTAGTACATTTTATGTTTATGAATTGATTTACAGGGATTTGTCACAATTTTGATTTGTGCCAATCGAGCTAGAGGGTTAAGATCATCTGGGTTAATATTTCTATTTTGGTTATCTTTGGCATTTTTCGGGATGGTTCAATATCGAACGGAACTACGATTATCATTTAATGATGTAAGAAAATAACTTACTATCGATACTTGTATACTATATAAATCACATCTGACTGTATATTTTATAATAACTGGTTTTCATATGTTTAGGTTCCATTAAATAATTATCCATTTATAAGTTACATGGTATACTACCCTATTATCTTAATAGAGTTTGTTCTAAGTTTCTTTGCCGATGCTGAACCTAGGCTATCTGACTATGGCTACGTCCAGGTAAATTTTCCTTTACATACTCATTTTTAACAATTGTTTTCTTCAAATACCTATACAGTAATTACATTTCTAGGTACCGTGTCCTGAGATGAAAGCATCATTCCCATCGAAGGTATTATTTTTATGGTTTGACTCATTTGCTTGGTCTGGTTATAAACGCCCAATAGAGGGCTACGATTTATGGAATATGAACTATGACGATAGTTCACAAGAAATAGTACGAGTTTTTGATAAACATTGGGAACGGTCATTAGTTAAATCGAAGTAAGTAGGTACTAAATATTTATAAGCAACTACGATGATTTCGATCAGTGAACATATTATTATGTACCTATAATTGTATTAGGTATACGTTTAACATAATTATTGAGTTTTACTTATATGTAGATCATTTATTCGTAATACCAAAAGATCTAAACCTCTTAATTTCCTTTTTAAGGTTAATCAGTTAGTTTATGTGAATATTATGTTTATTTTTATAGTAAATACCTATTTTCGTAATAAATAAAATGAAAAATACTTTACAGATTACAAGCTAGTAAAAACGTAAATTCCGTTAAAAATAAATCTGATGGGAGTGGAATTGAATTATCACCTGCAAAATATTCACTTAAAAACCAATACAAAGTATCAATTCTTCCTGTTTTGTGTAAATCATTTGGTAGTACATTTTTGTTTGGATCATTTTTAAAATTAACTGTGGATAGTTTAACGTTTGTCAGTCCTCAAGTACTTAAGTAAGTATTTAGTTTATATTATGGTCTTCACAACAAGTTATAATTTAATTTTTTTTAGGTACTTGATAAGTTTTGTTGGAAATTCGACTGATCCCTTATGGAGAGGATATTTTTATATTTTTCTCTTGATGATGACAGCGGTGTTGCAAACGTTAATATTATCTCAGTACTTTCATCGTATGTTTCTCGTTGGTATGCGTGTTCGAACTGCACTTACTTCTGCCATCTATCGGAAGGTAAACATTTAAGTTTGCTATTTGTATTTACAGTTAATATAATTCATTATAATTGCGTTCTAATTATTTATTTATAATTTTTTTTTCTAGGCTTTAAGAATTTCAAATACAGCAAGAAAATCATTCACAACGGGTGAAATAGTTAATTTAATGGCAGTAGACGCTCATAGATTTATTGATCTGATAACTTATTTGAATATGATTTGGTCTGCACCATTTCAAATTGTTCTCACAGTGTACTTTTTGTGGCAGATATTAGGACCCAGTGTACTTTCTGGGTTATTTGTGATGATAGTATTAATACCAATAAACGCTGCTGTGGCTAATAAATCAAAAAATCTTCAGGTCCAACAAATGAAAAACAAAGATCAAAGAGCTAAATTAATGAATGAAATTCTGTCTGGAATAAAAGTAATGTTATTTTTAAAACAATTTTAATTAATATGATATATTTTTACATGGTTATTGAACAGGTTCTAAAACTATACGCTTGGGAACCATGTTTTGAACAAAAAGTGTTGGATATTCGACTAAAAGAAATCAAAGTTCTTCGGAGTGCAGCTTATTTGAGTGCAGTTACTTCATTTGTTTGGTTTTGTGCTCCATTCCTGGTATGACTTTTTTTTAAATTCATTTTGTTTATACATTTTAATATCTATTTATATATAAAAATGGAGCTTATGAAATGTCGTTATACCTCATCAATCGAGAACGCGTTTGGCCGATTTGGTTCAAATTTTTTTAAGATGTACGTAATTGCCAGGAGAAGGTTTTTACAAAATAAAATTTTAGGAAAACTCACCTGAAAAGTAGGAAATCTGGATGTAAAAAATACAACAGTGGCGCAACGCGTATAAATTGGTTGATATTGGTTAATCGGGCATGTTTGTTGATTTGTATTATTATTTTTGTCATTATATATAACTACCTAGTTGATCCCGTGCACTTCATTACCCGTTAAATGTATCAACTCTATATGACTCAAACTTTGTTCAATTCGTTATTTAATATTTTGTGTATGGTGTTCAAAATTTATCTTAACTTTTCCAATGCCCGGAATAAAAATTCTGATTTGCAGCAGTACCTATATTATCAGGTAGGCAATCTACCTGCGGTGGATCGCGGACCCCTTGAAGTTTGTATGTAACTTTACAATTTAACTCTGATAAGTATCAAAGTTATACCAAGTATGTTACTGAACTCTTCCTAAACGGTTGGACTAATTATTGTGAATGCTGAGTCTGTCGACCAATATTTCCTCCTCGTCCACGAATATGTGGCATCGTGATTGTTTTATGTACCATGTACGTAACTTATATGTGAGTATAATACGCTCAATATTTATGTAATTGTGATACATAACACAGCGTACAAAAAAATTAAATGCACATCGTTAAATTTATCCTACCTGATAATATTATACTGCTGCAAATCAGAATTTTTATTAAAAATTAAATTGAACGGAGAAGTTAAGATACATTTTGAACAACATACACCGAATATTAAATAACGAATTGAACAAAGTTTGAGTCATATAGTTGGTACATTTAACGAGCAACGAAGTGCACGGGATCAGCTAGTTTTGTATAGTTTTGTTGTAAATTTGTAACATGGTAATTTAACGAATTGAAATTACCATAAAATAAATTAAAATTGTACAAAAGTCTATTACAATAACATACAATACAAGGTTTATTGAGCGTAGGACAAATTATCTTTTAAAATTTACAAATTAAAACTCTGTGTTTGTATAGTTATTTTGTAGGTTTAGTACATTTGTCCCATTGTGGAACTAAAAATATAATCTTCAGTAAAAGTTTAGAGTGACTTTCAGTAAAATGGAGGCTACAATCAGTCACGCAACGTGATTGAGAGAACGCACCCCCCCGCTGCAACTAATTCCCGGATGGGTTACCACCCGGGTTCTTAGTGGCAGAAACCTTAATTCACATGCATTTGTTGCTAACCAACCATTCTAACCTTACCAACCAATCTAACCTTACCAACTGTAACCCCTACAATAACTTACTATTGGCTATATTTTCCAGGCTCAAGACCAATATAAAGGTGATGTGTGTCAGATTTTATATCTGACGCTCAATGTTGATGTGTCAACATGGCTAGTCTTATTTTTTATGCGTTGACGCTTCCGATAAGCCTTCTCCCTTTCTAAGCTAGTTTAAAGTTTTGGCCATGTTCTAGAAAGAAAGAAAATGCAGAAATTATAGTTATAATTGTTGCGTGGACGAACTCCTACTGGGTGAGAAGTTAGTCCGACGACTTTGCTCCTGTTAATAAAATGTAGGTTTACTAATGGGTGAAGTAAATAACAAGTATTATAATTTATGAAATTACTTAATAATAATATTTAAGCGTTTTATGATAAATAACAATGATTAATAATAGTAAGAAAATATCCTGTATCATGTGATAATTTATATATTATCAAACATATTAAACATATCCTGTCCACCTCACGATTATACACCAATCCATACCTTTTTTCCTTAGAAAGGCTCGCTGATCATCGTCATTCTCAGCTAACTTATAATTTCTATCTAATCTTCTTTCCTTTAAAATTGATAGTTCAGAATCACTAGTCTATCCCGTGTCTCATTTAATGTCTCCTCCCGCCGTATACGATCATCTGTTCCATTCCATATACCTTTATCTTCCTCAAACTACTATCTTAACCCACCGTTCATCCGTTTTATATGTATTGCCAATACTGACCCATCATTCTCACTCTAAAATTGATCCTTGGTTCCATAAAGCAAATTATTACTATTATATTCATGTTATTAAAAGGTTCGTCCCGTATTGTAAAATAAAAATAAATAAAATAATCAAAATGAATACAGATAATAATAATAATAACAATTTTATATAATACATGAGTGTATATACGTTGTCACGGATACTCTACTTGGGCTATTGAGTTGAACGATTGCGCAACTTCCGTTACACTATTTCGTGACATCGAATTTACCAATTCACTCTAGAATCTAGACCCATTTTTTTTTTTCATACATTTTTTCTTTTTTTTGGGGAGGGGGAGATTGAGCGCATAAAAATGTTAACACATCAAAAAAAATATAATTTTTTAATTACAGAAATTGATTGATGTGATATATTTTATTTGAATACAATTGTGCATAAACCACAATTTTTTCAATTTTACCGATCAGATTTATTTGTACTATGATTCAATAAAATTAAGACAACTTCTATCCAAAATTTACTATTTTTCTGTAATTCAGATTTATAGTGAAACATAATCGTTTAGTTGGTTATAAGCGATTTTATTATTTTATTGTTATTCAAAAACGAATGCCTGTCGATACTTAAAAATTTCACTGAATATTTATAATAGCATTTTCTATACACCATATAATTTTGAAAATATTTTGACAATTTTTGATCTGTTTACGGACATTGTCAGTTTTAAATTTTTTTAGTTTTTTTTTTTTATAAATATCAATAAAATGTTATATGTTGGGAAAATTTAATGCAAGGCTCCTGATATATTGTTACAATAGCAGTGGAAAAATATTAAAAATACATAGGTACAGTTTTTTTTATAAGCATTTCAAGTTCGAATTTTGATCAAATTTATCAAATTTAAAATGTAATAATTATTTTGTAGCTAAACATTTAAATTGTTCGGTAAAAATACTTGATAATTTAATACAAGGCTCCTACTATATTGTTACAATGATATTTGAAAAATATTAAAAATCCTTAGTCACAATTTTTTTTATAAGCATTTAAAGTTCAAAAATTGACAAAATATGGAAAAATCACGAAAATTAGTAAATTATTTTAAGTTAAGAATTCGTAAAAATTTTTCTTTTTTAATCTAAGATTTTAAAATGTAATACAAGATTCCTTATAAGATTATCTACCTTACCAAAAAAAAAAGAAAGTCAAATTAAATTTTTATGAGCGTTTGAAATTCAAATTTTTAGAACATTGGATACTCACTCGATTTCTCATTTAGCGATTTTCTTATTTTGTTGCAATTCAAAAACCAATAACTGTAGACACATGTAAATTTCACTGAATGTTTATATTATAAATTCTTATATTTTGACTTGTTTTGAGCCATTTACAGACAATTTCATATTTAAATTAAAATTTTTTTTTTTTTTATGAATACCTATCAATAAAGTTTTATCTGTTAATCCAAAAGTGTAAAAATTTAATACAAGGCTCTCCATATATTGTTTCAAAAACAGTTGAATAATATTAAAAATACATAACATAAACACAGTTTATTTTTCTAGTCATTTTAAGTTCAAATTTTTACGAAATTACATAATTTAAAAATCTAGAATAACTATTTGAGTTATTTTGTTGTGATTGTAAAATATTATTCATGGTTAGTTGAAACTTCTAAAGTATACTATTATGTATCTAGTATAGTATCACGGTTTGTTGTTGATGTATAACAATTTATAAGTGCCTAAAGGCTATTGTGATATAATTAATTTGGAATTTATTATAGGTACAATTTTTTTTTAATACCATATATAAGTATATAATATGTATTTTACCTAGACTGACATACCGTCTCCGCTCAGAAACGTTTTTCCTATACTACGATATTATATCATTGAATTAAAAATTAATACCATCCATTATACAGTGACCCCCTTGTAACCTACTGTACAGCAGAGCGACTTTTTACAAATATATTTATTAAAAATACATATCTATGGCGTAGGCAACGTCGGGCGTCACAGCTATAGGTATACATAAATCTTTAAATACCATTATGTATTAACCTTATCGGCATAATTTATAATAATTACTATATTTTGATTATTTATGTATTGGTAAATAATTGTAATTCATATGTCTATTAATTATTTAATAAGTGGTGTTTTATTATATTTAGGTATCATTAGTAACTTTTGCAGTTTATGTATTATCCGACGATAGCCATGTATTAGATGCAGAGACAGCTTTTGTTTCATTATCTTTATTCAACATTTTACGTTTTCCATTATCTATGTTACCAATGTTGGTGTCAAATGTAGTTCAAGTAAGTTTTCTGCTTAGCATTGTAATAAGTGAAGACATTACCATTGGTTTTTTTTAAAGCCTTGTCTTATTAACATGTTATAGTCAAGTGTATCTGTAAAGCGAATAAATAAGTTTATGAACTCCGAAGAGTTGGATCCAGATTCCGTCACCCATGATTCTGATGAAAGTATATAACATTTTATATTTATTTAATATGGATTTTTTGTTTTATTTTAATTTTATTGATTATTTTTGATTTGTAGAGGATCCTCTTGTAATTGAAAACGGTACATTCACTTGGGGTGAACCAACTGATGCACCAACATTATCAAACATAAACTTACGAGTTTCATCTGGACAATTGGTTGCTGTAGTGGGTACTGTTGGTTCTGGGAAGAGTTCTTTAGTATCAGCTTTTCTCGGTGAACTGGAAAAAGTTTCCGGTAGAGTGAACACTAAAGTTAGTGTACATATCCTAATAACTATTTTATTTGCTGAACTTGAATAATAATAATACTAATAAATTGTTTTTTAGGGATCTATATCATATGTACCACAGCAAGCTTGGATACAAAATACCTCACTTAAGGATAATATATTGTTTGGTCAATCATTTAATGATAGAGTTTATAAAAATGTCATTGATGCATGTGCATTGAAAGCTGACTTCCAAATGCTTCCAGCAGGTGACGACACAGAAATTGGTGAAAAGGTGCCTACCTAAATTCCACATTTAAAAATTATTATATGTTTATAAGTACCTATATTAAATAAATAATTGTATAGGGAATCAATTTAAGTGGAGGCCAAAAACAAAGAGTAAGTTTGGCAAGAGCAGTTTATAAAGAGAGTGACATCTATTTTTTGGACGACCCATTAAGTGCTGTAGATTCACATGTCGGCAAACATATTTTTGAACACGTTATTGGACCTACAGGATTGTTGCGAAAAAAAGTAACAATATATTATGTCAGATAAAATTATCTTAATTTTGATTTTTTAACATATCTAATGATTGTTTTTATATCGAAGACACGAATTTTGGTTACTCATGGTATAACTTATCTCAGAGATGTTGATTTAATTGTGGTAATGAAAGATGGTCAAGTATCAGAGTCAGGCACATATAAAGAATTGTTAGACAAAACAGGAGATTTTGCTGATTTCTTATTATCGCACATGCAGGAAGAAAGTGAAAATGAAATTGATGAAATAGGTAATATAAATGGAGCTTTGCGTTTTGGCAAGCAAGTGTTTCAATGTTAAAGTTAAGTTAATTTAATCTCTTTAAATTGTCATCAACTTAATTTTTATCTTAACAGATTTTTATTAAAAAAACAATATAAGTAATATAATTAAATTATTAAAAATAACTTTGATAAAACATATATTTATCATATCGTACAACGGCATACGGGCATACTTTAATAATAATAATATTAATAATGCATGTTATTGCATTTTTGTAAAATTAAATATTGTCAATAGTATTTATGTAAATATTAACATCAAAATTAACTTAAGTTAGTAAGTTAAGTTTATGTTTTCACATAGTTTTTAATTAAATTGAGTAAAAATAAAAATAAAAACAGCTATTAACTTTAAACATTTCTATTGATTTAACTTAACTCAATTACAAATTATCATTAACTTAGTCAGGATAGAGGTTTGGTAATTCTGACATTTTGTAAAATATACTTATTAAAATCATTTTTTTTTTTAGAAATGAATAAGTTATTAGAAGATGCACCTGCAGATTTAAAAGAAAAATATGTTCGCCAGCGAAGTGAAACGAACTCAAATTCTTCAATGCAAAGGTAATAATAATAACAATTACAAAAATGAAATTGATAATAAACTCATTCATGGCAATTAATTAAAAATATTTAGGCAAATATCTATTGATTCAAATAAACCAATTCCTCGACCTATAGTGAAACAAAACACCAAGCTCATTGAATTAGAGAAAGTACAAACCGGAAATGTATGTGTGGGCTTTAAAATAAATATATACATTTAAATTTAAAATAGTTTATTTTAAATAATTTGATTTTTTGATTTTATTTAATTTTAGGTCAAATGGGATATTTACATTCAGTATATTAAGTCAATTGGACCTATTTTTTGCATATCTTCAGTTTTACTAACTTGTCTTTACCAAGGATTTTCTATTTCATCGAACATCTGGCTATCAATATGGTCTAATGATGATAGTTCGCTTACTGGTGAAACAAAAAATGATAACAATAAGTTTATGCACTTAACAGTTTACGGACTACTTGGAATTGGCCAAAGTAAGTTTGAACATTTCAATTTCATAAACTTTGGATTTCATTTTAACTGAAAATCTGTTATTTCCATTTCTTGGGCATTAATGGTTATGACTTTATTTTTAATGTGATTTTTTTTATATTGATAAAGTTATAGGTACCTAATACTTATATTATTCATATCGAATGATATGTATAATATTACAAAAAATACATGATATAATAAATTAAATTACATAATATACAATTTTCCAGTATAATTTTAGTAGCTACTTACGACCTAAGTATATTTGTTGTGCATTTTAATCATACGATTATGGTAACACGGCGTCTTAGATATGCAATTAAGATACACCTAAAGTCCTAAACCATACATTTTTGAAGAAATTTCATAATCGTATGTTTTTTTTTCGTAATTGAATAAAAACTAAATCTATGAACTAACTGTGTCGTAAGTAAGTCAATTTAGTTATAGAATTTGGATACCAAACGACGGGTGAATATACGATTATTACCATAAACAGTTGATATAGAATATTATATTTTATACTTTAATGTGCATTATAATAGTATGTTTACAGTGTGTTTATTTATTATTTATCTTTAAAT